AGATAGCTATGGTAGAAATTGGAGTGAGTAAGTCCCTGATAGTTGCAGTAAATATAGTGGGAAAGGCTTTCAATGAAAATCCCAAAAGAAATGAAAGCGAGCGAATTTGTCTATTTGCTAAAGAAGAACCAGGGATAAATGAATCTAAGCAAACCTCTATGGTTTTCCAAATAATGAAGGTTGGTGATTTCCCTCTAAAGTTGCTTGTGTACAATCCTTTGATTGATATATATGTCAAAAGTCATAACAAGGCTGTTTTGAAACTTCTTAACAAATTGGTCAAAATTGATGTTCAAGATTGGCAGCTACAAATATTTCTTGATGGCATGATGCAATATACAACATTATTGTTGATATTGGAATGTAGAATGGAGTCATTTGAAGCAGTTATAATAGGTGGCAGGAATAGTGACCTGCCAAATCTCAGCATTGTGGCATTTTTTGGTGAATTTTCTAGTGCTTTATCATTAGTTACAGCCGACAAAGTAATCACAAGCCTGATTTTATTAGCTTATTACTTGAAAGAGGAGGGTTCATCTCTGGAACCTGAACCATCTATGTCAGGGGTAGTGGGTGAGAATATTGGCAGTGTTGACTCTGTGATAGGCGATATAGATTTTGGTAAGTTTGCAACAATACTTGAGCATGGAGATGCTTATGTTGAAGAAACTCTTATTGATGAGAAAAGGGCCCACTATGGTCTTGCTGAAGGAAAGAGATTCCAAGATTGGTATGAAATTGTTACACTCGTGGGAGGACTTCTTCAAGATGAGAATGCCCTTCGGATAATCACATATTGTGGGTGCCAAGAGATTGGAGACTATGTGGCCATAAGTGAATTTAATACTGTGAAAGGAGCTCTGAACAATACTGCTACTCTTTATCATCAACAGCGCAGGGTTATCTTATTATTGATTATTTTGGGTTATTTAGTCATTATTTGAGGGCATATACTCTAGGGAACCATTTAGTGAAGTATTCTCTGGCAAAGGTGGCACTACCTAGACCAACTGGGCTCCTTGTACAAAGAAAAATAATTCATAAAGATGTGTTCTCAATTAGAGAGGCGAGAAATGCACTTGCAAAGGAAATGATCCCCTCAAAGTAACTTGCTATCATCCTCTTTATCTCAAGATTAATCTCATGAGTCCTCCAGATTTTAATCAGTTAATTGATGCAATGAAATTGTTCATCTTAAATGTCGCCATACTTTCTATGTGTAGTTTTCTTCCATCTGGATTAGATGAAGCTGCTACTGCTTCACGAAAGTTTGGTGATCTTTCTATTTACATTGATGATGAGGTTGTTGGAATATCCTTTGTTCCCTTGCAACCACGATGCTTGTGGGTGCGTGACTCAATCAAGGAAAGATCATTTGAGCTAAATGCTCCACTAGTTTATTATTTTCATGTGGCTGAAGACCTTCAAGCACAAAAGATGCATTTCACACTTGAAATTTCATTTGATCCTGGTGGCCATAGCTTTGCTGGATCAGTCAGTGTGCTGAATAATGCATGGGTAGAGTTAAGCAGGGTATTTAATGTTCAATTTGAAGATAATGATGTTTATTGGAGGAAGAAGAGGGTTGAGCGATTACTAAATAAGTTTCAGTTCAGCTTTTTTGTCAGCTACAGTGACCTCAAGTGTTCATGGAAGCATGGGAACCCCAACAGAGTTGCAGACAAAGAATTATCTCTTGCGTTTCCATATAAAAGATTTTTAGGGATACTTGGTCTAGATTGTGCTGAAAAAACTACTTTTAGCGATATGATTATTGGACCCTTTTATTCAAACAGTGAGATAGAATATATTGCAAGAAGGAGACAAACACTCTTTCATAGAAGATTGAAAAATATGAAGAGCCCTGCTTTAAGCCAAGAAGTGGAGGGATCTCTCAAAAGCTTTTATCTTTCTATGATTATGGATCACGCAATTGCTGACAGAAATTTTGTGGATACTAGGTTAGCAAATAAAGTCATCCCTTCTCATGTTATTTTCTCCTTGTAGTATGACTTTGTTAAGCATGAGTTTTGGAAGCACAAACTCAAGAATGCTCACTGGAGAATGACATTTCATATATTTGAAGGAGTGCAGACATATACTGTCTATCTCATAATTCCAAATGCAACATCGTTTAACTTTGGTGAAGAAAAGATTCGTGCTTGTTTGCTAGAGTTGACTACTGTTGAATTCATCCATTTCCAACCTTGAGGACAAGGTTATTATTAGGGGGATGGGATGTAACGAAAGGAGATTATAGGTCAAGTTTTATTATTTATAGGTTGCCCCTCTTTAGTTTTACCACTATAGTTTAGCCCCTCTTTAGTTTTACCACTACAGTTTAGCCCCACTTTATTATTTATTTTCATTAGTACCCCTATTAAGTTCATATATATATATATATATATATATATATATATTCTGTAAACATAGCGTTGTAGATTATCTGTTAAATGAAAATCTGAATCTTTTATCTTTTACTTACTTTTCTTTTTCTCTTAGTTCCTCTTTCCTGTTTCAATGGCGAATTCACTGCCGGATTCGCGACATTTCGCTGCTACTCACTATTTAAGTCGAGTTGTATTGCCAAACACGAGTTTTTTATTACTGTGACTAGACGTTTTAGAATATAATAACCCGTGTATTTTTATACTTCTGCCGTCCCAATTTATGTGAGTGTGTTAGGATTTCGAGAGTCAAACGCGTTATTTTTTTAAGGCAATTTTTCATATATTTTAAATTACTAATTACTATGGCTTATAATACTTTTTACGCAGTTTTTAAATATGTAAATTTTATTTTCAAAAGCTTAAAGATTCCATGTTTAAATAGGCGATCAAAATTAATAAGTTTAAATCTTGAAAAGTGAAAAATATCACATGAATGGGGACAGAAATTGTAATTTGTAGCGCAATGACCATGTTGTCACGTTAATATTGTGGTGGAAAATTATATTTTCACATACTTATGGGGTGAGCCACTTGAGGGTTGATTAAGCCTTTTTTATTTTGGTCAAAGATAAAAGGCAAAATTAATTCTGAAAATTTTAAGGGGAAAAATCAAAGAAAGAAAAGAGCAAGCAAGTCTAATAATTGAATAAGCACTTACATATCTTAAAGAAAAACCTGCAAAAGAGCTCTCTTACTAGTATTTGTTTTGTTTTCTTCTAAAGATATGGCAACTGAAAAAAGTAAAATTGAAGCAGAAAATTATAAGAGTCCCATGTGTGAATTTCAGACAAAGAATTTGGGTGCTTTTGACAGAGCATTCTCTTTGTACCCACCAATTCAAATGCTGACGCAATGCAATGTATTATGAAGAGGTCAACATCTTGGTCAAAACCCTAAAAGTTTGAAGGAGTGCTGTAATAGCTTAACCAGCTCTAACAAATCATCAGCCTGAATTTTTCTTTTCATAGTTTTATTTTTTCGTGAATTTACTCAGCAATATGAGATTTTTTTTTGTTGAAAATTGCAGTAAATTAAAAAATGAATGCAGTTCTACTTGTTGTGTGTGTGTGTATATATATATGTGCGTGTGTGTTCCTTATTATTTGGATTTGAAGCTTTAGTTTAGTTAATTTATCTTCAAAATTACCAAAGGATAAAATTAGAACCAAAAAGATAAATGAACTAAACTATAGTAGAAATTCTTGGTGGGGAGTGCATCTCTTTTAATTGATCTTATTCGATACGAAGTCGAATTAGTCGTAATCGGACCGGTGAATACCGAATAAAACCAAATCTTTAAAAAAATATATATTTGATGGTTTGTTTAGTGAAATTAAGTTTGGTAAAAATAAATGGCAAAAGTCACTGATTTTGTGCATGTGAACTGTGGAAGAATGTATTAAATGTGAGTGAAGAGAAATAATACTAAATTACTAATACTCTCTCGAGTCTGAGTGCATATATTATAGTAACATTTTGTCTTGTCCATTTGAGAGAAAAGGTATTCTCATGGGACCTTCTTCACTTTCTATTTTGGGCAAGTCTAAAATTATGATCACCGTCCCAAGAAACCCTAATTGGAAATACACAAGAAATTTGGTACGTTGCATTTCTTCCTAAGTCCCCCATCATCCAAGAAAAGCTGATAGTACATTGTCAGTGGTAGTTATGCGTCAACAACAACGTCAATTACTTTTTTTTTTTAAAATCTAAACTTGCAATTACTTTCTCGTAAAAAAAATAAATGTACTACTAGCTACTTGATATTATGATATTTAATTATCCCTTTTACAAACAAACATGATGCTAATAATTACCATATAGTTGCGAAAAAGAAATTGTAATTTTCTTATATAGAACGAAAGTCTTGACGTAACTGGTAAAGTTGTTGTCATGTGACCAGGAGGTCACGAGTTCGAGTCGTGGAAACAACCTCTTGCAGAAATGCAGGGTATGACTGCGTATGATAGACCCTTGTAGTCCGCCCTTCTCCTGACCCTGCGCATAGTGGGAGGCGGGAGCTTAGTGCACGAGGCTCTCTCTCTCTATATTTTTTTCTTTTCTTATCACCCTTTTCCTTTTGTATTATCTACGTCAATTACTTTTATTTTTTAAAATCTAAACTTGCAATTACTTTCTCGTAAAAAAATGTACTACTACTTGATATTATGATATTTAATTATCCCTTTTACAAACAAACATGATGCTAATAATTACCATATAATTGCGTAAAAGAAATTGTAATTTTCTTATATAGAACGAGAGTCTTGGCGTAACTGGTAAAGTTATTGTCATTTGACCAAGATGTCATGGGATCGGGCCGTGAAAACAGCTTCTTGTAGAAATGCAGGGTATGACTGCGTACGATAGACCCTTGTGACCCGCCCTTCTCTGGACCCCGCGCATAGTGAGAGCTTAGTGCACCGGACGCGCTATATATANCGCATGACAATATTGTGAAATTACAATTATGGAGTTCTCATATTATATCATATGTGTGTGAGAAACTAGTAAAAGTTTCATTCTTTCTCAATAACTAGCCATCTAACTCCAAAAGAAAACTAAGCTTATATATAAATAGGTGAAATTGCAAAGAGGACGCACCTCTACCCAAAATCAGAAAGCCAACCTGAAAAAACACTACAAGAACAAAGGTAAACTCTTAGACATAGTCATTCTTGCTTTTCCTTATAATATCCTCTACAAACATCAGTAAACTTTTCATTTAATTTCTTACACTGAAAAATTTTACTTTTCCATTTCTTACACTTTTCATCCTTTTCTTTATGGATCTTAGTTTTTTTTAAACACATATTTTTGGTGCATTTCCAAGGAAATTAAGTTATATTTGGTCTTTACGTACCTTAAACAAGAAAATTCAAGAGTAGAAAAGGATTTCTGTTTCGCCATTAAAATCTAGGTTTCTAATTTGATGCATATATGTCTTTATATGTAAATTGTCATTCTTGTTTATTTCTTTGGAGGATTAAATTTTCTTTTTGTGGTTTTGTTTAACCATAATTAGGAGATACTATACGTTAAAGAATAATGGGGAGAGGAAAGATAGAAGTGAAGAGAATAGAGAACAAAACAAGCAGGCAAGTCACATTTTCAAAACGAAGAGCTGGTCTTCTCAAGAAAACTCATGAACTCTCTGTTCTTTGTGATGCTCAAATTGGACTTATCATCTTCTCCACCAAAGGCAAATTATTTGAGTACAGCAGTCAACCTCACAGGTTCTAAATTATTGCCTCACTTTTTTTTTTTTTTTTTT